AAAACATACTATCGTTTGTTGATTGAAGAGATGAGAATCTGAAGAGGAAGGAAGGAATAAGCTATCGCTCTCTCTGCTTGAGTGAGAGACGTTGCAACAGCCAGCGTATCTGGAGTCGACGCCCTTTGATACGCCTTGTAGATCGCGGGATTCAGTATGACTCGGATGCCAGAGCTTCTTCTGTCATCCAGGTCCTCCAAAACTGTAATGATCTCCAATATCTCTGAAATCCAGAGTTGTATAACCGTTCCAAAGCTCAAGACCTAGACAACTTATATCTAGTTGTTCGAAAAGAGATGTAGAGAAGGTAAACGATGCAAGAGAGGGGGAGGGGGAACCCATTCAGGTCAGGAGCATAGATGACATCTCTCCATGGTAGGCTGACTGTTCATACGTAATTAAACCAAAGTTTACCTGTTATCTCCTATCGGCTACTATCAGTCAATAGTTCCAGGCCTAGTAAGGTACCTACTTTCAGCTCCGTATCTCCGTTACCTAGTGAGATCCATTTGATGCCAGCACTACTCAAACAGAAGGTCTTATTTGTGGTATATATGGATATACTATTAAAATGATGAGGTATTCAGGCAGAATTTATACCTCAAAGCTACAAAATTCCTCACAGCATTCTCAACAGCTGATCCTGGAGTATGAATGCCTGCACCTACTCCGTACATGGTAACGTACGTATCTTTTGCTGGTAACGACATTACCAAACAACCCCCCAATCCCGCATGAGGGGTAAGACAAACATTGCAAACAACACGCACCTGAAACACGGGGTCAGCACGCGCCACGTGATTTGCCTGAGGGCTGTGGCAGGTCTCAGTCATCGTCAACTGGATGCAGGAACTTGGATCGAGCATTCCACATATCCACGGTCGCCCCGGAGGTAACCGCCAGTCAAATAATGACCAAGTCTTTCCGACTCATGATCGAGCATCAGGTGTTCATTGTCAAGTTGTCACGGGGTCACTTCTGCAGCATAGCCATGATCTGTAAGGCCCCAAGCTGTCATTGGTGGACGATCAAGCGACGACTGAGAAATGACGCCTGCCGGTCAGATCAAAAACCCATGCTTGAGGTCATCCAGGGAACTCTTCCTCAAGGTGTTATAGGGAAATGACACCTCGTACCATAGACTTGTGTGCCTGCCGATGACCTGTTGGTTCGTCATTGAACAACATCATGAGACAGCGTGGAGTATTCCTCCCTAACTCGGCATAGGTAAAAGAAGGTCAAAGATTTAGATAATATTGATACAAGTTTATCAGATAAAGTAAAGGGGGAAACTCCTTGCACAACTCCGGTAGACCTTGCTTTTGTACACCAGGCCTTTGTATACCACACCTTCTTGGCAATATTCAGGTCTTCTTCTTCGCAGCAGCAGCTTTGGCGGCTTTCTTTCTGTTGCTGTTGATCATTACCAACCCAATGAAGGTGCCAACCACGGCCGAACCCAGTAGAGTCAGAATGACAGGAATGCGGATTGCCCACACGCGAGGAGGGAAGAGGTCATGGAGAGGGTGTCCGGGGTCAACGAAGGGCTGTCTGATAGTTAGTTTTTGTGTCAGGTGTCGCCAAGGGGGTTGTGGATTAAATACCATAAGGAGAGTCCAAGCCGTATAATAGAGGAAGATCGCGGTAGCGACCAAGAGCATGGCGGATCCCACGAGTTGGCCCAGCTGCGATCCAGAGTCAGTCAGTATGAGGGCGTATGAATGAGAAAGAATTAAAGGCTCACCATAATGGAAGTTCGAAACTAGGTTGATTCCTAACAAAACGCCGGAAGTGCACGACGAAATGTCTCCTCTGATACTGCCCATAAACAGTCCAGGCCAGCTTGGCTCCTTGAATGTCACGTGATGATATTGGACGCTAAGGCTTTCCTCCCTTCGCCGCCTCACGTTTCCGACTGGTAGAACTTGGCCGGATCACATCCTGCATCTCGAGCTCTGGAGTTGACATCTAGCTCAAGAAACTCCAGAGTAGTAGATTCTGACACAGAGCAACCATGACGGATTCTGTTGTGTTGCAATCCGCCGTTCGCGTGCCTACACCTCCCCCAGGCACCTCGTACTCTCCACAGCCCTCAGCCTCACGAAAACGCTCTCCTCCATCTCGGTCCCCTTCCCCTCGTCGCCGTCGCTCGCCACCTGGTGACTCGCTGAAGGAAGACGGGGATGCGCCACGTATCGATCCCGAGCGTGCGGTTGAAAGAGAGCGCCAGCTGGCCGAGCGCCTCCGTCAGCATGAGAGGCAGGAAGCTGCGCGGAAGCCCATGACGGAGGAGGAGAAGCAAGCTGCCGCCAAAGCTGAGTATGAAAAACTTTTGAATATGCGATCTGGGGGCACATATATACCACCAGCTCGATTGCGCGCGCTACAGGCGCAGATCACGGATAAGACCAGCAAAGAATACCAGCGTATGGCGTGGGAAGCTCTGAAGAAGTCCATCAACGGTCTCATCAATAAGGTCAATGTGTCCAACATCAAGTTCATCGTTCCCGAGCTCTTCGGGGAGAACCTGGTCCGTGGACGAGGTTTATTCTGCAGGAGCATCATGAAGGCGCAAGCGGCGAGTTTACCGTTTACCCCGATCTACGCGGCGATGGCGGCCATTGTCAATACCAAGTTGCCTCAAGTCGGCGAACTGCTGCTCAGTAGGTTGATTGTCCAATTCCGAAAAGCATTCAAGCGGAACGATAAAGCCGTCTGCATCTCATCCACAACTTTTATCGCGCATCTGTGTAACCAGCAAGTCGCCCACGAGATGCTTGCCGCCCAGATACTCCTTCTTCTGCTACATAAACCTACAGACGATAGTGTGGAAATTGCCGTCGGTCTGACCAGGGAAGTTGGCCAGCACTTGGAAGAGATGAGCGGTCCCATCGCTCTGGCGGTGTTTGATCAATTCAGGAATATTTTGCATGAGGCCGACATCGACAAACGAGTTCAATATATGATCGAGGTCCTGTTCCAGGTTCGTAAGGATAGATACAAGGACAACCCGGCGATCAAGGAGGAACTCGACCTGGTTGAGGAGGAGGATCAGATTACCCACCGTATCGGTCTCGACGATGAAATTGATACTCAAGATGGTCTCAATGTCTTCAAATTCGATCCTCAGTGGGAGGAACACGAGGAGGCTTACAAGAAGCTCAAGGCCGAAATTCTTGGCGAGGGCAGCGATGATGAAGAAGACGAGGACGAAACCGACGAGAGCTCTGACGAGGAAGAGGAGCAAGAACGACAGATGGAGATCAAGGATCAAAGCAATACAGATCTCGTCAATCTTCGGCGAACAATCTACTTGACTATCATGTCCAGTATTGACTTTGAAGAATGTTGCCACAAACTCATGAAGATCTCGTTGCCCCCTGGCCTGGAGCCAGAACTCCCCTCTATGATCATTGAATGCTGTTCCCAGGAGCGAACGTACTCGAAATTCTACGGCTTGATTGGAGAGCGATTTGCGAAAATCAACCGTTTATGGTCTGATCTTTTCGAAGCCTCCTTTGCCAAGTATTACGACACAATCCATCGATATGAAACCAATCGTCTGCGCAATATAGCGCGTTTCTTTGGCCACATGCTGAGCACGGACGCCATTGGCTGGCATGTCTTGTCCATCATTCATCTTAATGAAGACGAGACAACTTCTAGCAGCCGTATCTTCATCAAGATTCTGTTCCAGGATCTAGGGGAACATCTTGGCCTTCCGAAGTTGCAGCAGCGCATGAGGGATGAAATTCTGCGTCCCAGCTTCGAGGGACTCTTCCCTCTGGACAACCCCCGCAACACCCGCTTTTCAATCAATTACTTCACGAGTATCGGCTTCGGTATTCTGACGGAAGACATGCGGGAGCACTTGAAGAATCTTCCCAAACCGACTGTTCCCGCACTGCCTGCACGCGACGCAGAGTCGGACTCGGAGTCTGTCCGTTCACATTCTACCTGCTCTACATGCACAGGTTCTTCTCGGTCCCGCTCGCGATCACATTCCTATTCACGATCCCCTTCACGAAGCCCCGGCCGGCGTCGTTCCGTCAGTCGTGGAAGGTCGTACTCGATATCAGTGTCTGGATCTTCTCGAGGAAGAAGTTATACCCCGAGCTACAGTTCTCGATCGAGACCTCCAGTTCCAAAGTCTCGTCAGCGCTCAGTGCCCTATAGCCGTTCACGCTCGCCGGCTGGCCGAAGAAGGTCGTCAGTCTCTCGCACACCACCTAGACGTGTTCGTGACAAATCCTATGACTCTCGCTCCCCTTCGCGATCCGTCACGCCACCAAGAAGGCGAAGCTCTTACAGCCGGAGAGACCGATCTTACTCCAGGTCACCGTCGCGCTCTGTTACCCCACCACCCCGAGCTGGGGAAGCAAGGGCCCGTGGTAGACGCTACTCCTCGCAGTCTCTTTCTCCTCCTCGTCGACGTGCCGAGAAAGGTGTATCGGCTCAACGTCCCCCTCCTGGTCGCCGTGCCCGTGGCGATTCCCTGTCACGATCGCCCAGTCCTCCTCCGCGGTACGGACATGATCAGAGACGCAGGAGGAACTCAAGCTCCGTCTCGCCATCTCGCTCACCCCCAGCTCGCGACTCCAACAGGCGCGGATCTCTTTCGAGGACTCCGCCCCGTCGGGGCCGCGCCTCCGACTATCTGTAACAAGAGAAAAGCTCATATTGAATCGTGTCCTTCGGTACTAGGACATGTACAACAACTTAGCAGGTATTTGATGATCTAAATCATTGGAACAAACAGGGTCGAACAAAGGTCAAACGTGTATCTATATTTCTAGGCTGTGAATTACGTTTGCAAGCTGCTATGCCCAATACCAGTCTTGACTATCTGCATCGCTCATTAAATCTTTTGGGTATTCTATGCTATGAAGTCTCTGTAAGATTCACATATGTCATTCAGTCATCTATAGGGTATCTTGAGTGCTATATTGCCGTCACAACCATTCTATGTACCAAGTCTCAGGTCATACGTGTCAAATCATCTACGCCGTAGAAGCCTCCCAGACACACCTCTCGCACAGACACAAACCCCCCAGGGCGCCCCTGGCCCACTCCCTCCGCTCCTTGACATCAAGCCCAATGTCACAGTAGTGATTCAGAATCTCTTCATCCGCCCTGATCCCCTCGCCCGTCCGCCGCACAGGCGCCCCATCCCCCTTCCACACCGCTCGCTCGGACTCCGTCCGCGCCCGGAACGTAATCTCGCCTCCCCATTCCCAGCGCACGTTGGGATCACAGGAGTGATTCGCCAGGCACCAGAGCGGATGCACGGCGCAGAGCTCCGGCCCGCCGTCCCAGGTGGAGAGGCGGCCCGACGCGGTGCCGCGGAATTTGGCGTACAGCGTGTTGAGCACCCAGGTGTCGTAGCGGGGGAGGTTTGCGTAGGGGTCGAGTTCCATTTCCTCGAGGATGCGCATGGGCTGGAGGATGTTGAGCTGGAAGGAGAAGGGGAGGGTTGCGGTGGGGTCGGCGCCTGCTTCTGCCGTGGCTGCGAAAGAGAAGCCGTTGAGGTCGTGGAAGTCTCCCCAGATGTACTTCACTTCCGGGAGGTCGAGCGGATGCACGTCCTGCGTTGCGGCCATGGCGATGGCCCGGCCCAGGAGCAGGAGGTACAGGTAATCGGCCTTATCCTTTGGGTCGGGGATATCCTTGCCGATAGACTCGAGGTTGTCCATGAGGCCGCAGACGGCGCCATGGTAGACGGTTTGGGCTTGGTCGTGGCATTTCTGGCTGCAGAAGATGGTGTCGGCGCAGCCGTCGCAGGCGACGGGGGGTTCGGCGGACGAGAGCTCCGGCAGCGGAGCGTTACAGGCATCGCAGAGGTCATCGTGGAGGCGATTGGTGGCTGTGAGCAGCGATGACTCGCGCAGAAGGATCTCCCCAGGGGCGATATCTTCCTTTGCGAACAGACCCAGTTGAATGGAAACTTCCGGTGCTGCGGTCTCGTCGGCCGCCGAGCTTGGGGCTGTAGTCGTACCGTGCAACGCGGGCAGCGCAACGGCCCTTACTTCGCACTTGGGCGCAACATCCTTCAGTCTCTCGTTCAGCAACTGCAGTGTCTCGGGCGCCTTGCGATCAGGCTCATGCGTGTTCCACGGGTAGAGTACCCGCCGCGCGTAGCCCTGCGCATTCAGCACGCTCGAGTCCACCACCACCTGGCCATCATCACCTTCTTTCCGTCCATGCTTAGCAGCATACACCTTCTTAAGTGTATCTAGCTGCTCCTTCAGCCCAGCGATCTCGTCCACCGCACCCGTACCCTCCACATCCTCCAACAACGCAAGCCCACGCACACAGAATTCATAGGCATCACGGTAACACCCACAACGAACCAAGCTCCTCACAAGCAACTCATACACGCCACCGACCATATCATCATATTCCTCCTGCGATATGTCCTCAAAATCCCCCTCCTCGTCCCCACCTTCCTCACCATCCTGACTCCCAACCCGCCGCCTAGCCTGAAACTCGCACCCATCCGGATCAACAACAGACTCGAGCAACGACAAAGCACGGTACGCATCCGCCGACGCAAGATCTGAGAAGCCCAGGCGCTCGTGCATCCGGCCTCGCTCAAGGTATCTGCGCGGATTGTGCGGGTCTGCGTAGAGCTGGGCCGTTACATCGGAGCGTTCGCGGATGAGTGCGTCTGCGTCCATGTTCGGGGATAGATGGTTTGTGAGCGTAGCGGAGTAGAGAGTATATCCAAATATCCGGAAATTGAGCTGTTGCTGCCGGGGTAAAATTTGTAATCTGTCCTTATATGCGACGTATCCGTCGTGCCCTGAAATGTGAAGGTATATTTCAGTTTGGTCTCCTCCGGGGATCTCTATGGGGTAAACCAATGAGGTGGCAATAACAAGAAGAGGGATAAGTTGTTATACACATATATCCAATAACGGCAACAGATTGTCGACTTTCAATTGCTTCATGAAGACCTTGGATTCGTAATTCATTTCTCGAATTTTTCTCTAGGACCCACGAAAAACGTGGGGTATCATTATCATCACGTGGTGATATCCC